TCATTTTTCAACAAAACTTTTTTAACATCATTTTTCAAAACTTCTTTTTCAAACACATTTTTCAAGACTTTCCCATTCACAAGATCACGTATATGCAATAAAGGAGGAATGGGATGTGAAACGGGACGGGTGACAACTTGAGGTTGCACCGGTTCACTCTCTTCATTGGAAATTTTAACTTGATTGTCCACAATCCTACCACTCCGCAAGGTAGTCACCACATTAACATGTTCAATGTTGTGGCCTTCCGATGAGGAATGGGTTTCCACAACACATTGTTGCTTAGGTAATGCATTAATAGGCATTTTTCCCTTCTTTCTTGCATTGAGAGTGCTTGCTATTTGCCCCACTTGGGTTTCTAGCTTCGTAATAGATTGAGAGTGAGAATGAAGCAATTGAGTGTTAGCCTCTAAAGTGCCCAAAGCATTTAAAACTTTTTCTTCGAAAGCGGGACTTCTAGTATTTCCTTGGGAATAAGATTGGTTGGGAAAATGAGAATTAGCAAATTGATTCCCTTGTGATTGATAAGGTTTATAACCTTGGGATCCTTGGTTTTGAAGTGGAGGTAGAATGTACTTCTCTTGAAAACCGCCTTGGGAAGGGTTTGAGCCATCTCCTTGGTTTTTCCAAGAGAAATTCGGATGATTCCTCCAACTTGGATTATAGTGAGTACCATAAGGATTGTTTCCTTGGTTCACAAAAGCTACATTGACTTGTTCATTAGGTTCATTTTGCATTTGTCCATGAGGACAATGAGAAGTATAATGAAGAGCACTAGAACAAGTCATACATGTTTCATTTGATGCATGATGAGAATGGTTAGGGAAGGAAGATACTTGGTTCGCCGAGTTTTGGTTAATCAAAAATTGATCAAACCTTTGAGATAAAGACTTTATTTCGGCGGCTATTTCATTTGAATGGTCGACTTGATGTAAGCCAACACTTTTCCTACCTTGTGAATTTCTACCATTCTTGGATGATAATGTTCTATGCAAAGAATTTTCACTCATACTCTCATAAAGATGCCACACGTCATTCTCATGCCTATCAATGTATGAGCCACCCATGGAAGCATCAACCATACCCTTATAGTTGTCCGATAAGGTCTCAAAGAATTATTGAACTAATTACCATTTGGGCATGTCATGATGTGGACATTTCCTAAACAACTCATTGAAGTATTCCCATACCTCATGAAACGTTTCTCCATCCCCATGTGAAAATTCTTGAATTAAGGTTCTCATGGCATTGGTCTTAGAAACCGGATAGTACTTTTTCAAGAACTCTTGTTGCATTTCTGCCCAAGAAGTAATTAAAAAAGGCCTAAGATTGTTAAACTAATACTTTGCCTTGTCTTTTAAGGTGAATGGAAAAAGTTTGAGTCTTAAAACCTCTTCCGACATGTCCGTATATTTTACGGTGGAACATACTTTAAGAAACTCATCCAAATGCTTGTAAGGTTCTTCACTTGGAAGTCCATGATAGTCAGGAAGCATTTGAATGGTTTATGGCTTAATTTCATAATTATGTGCTCTAAATGGAGGCAATTGGATGCATGTAGGTGCATTATACTCATTAGGCACATAATGGTCTCTTAAAGCAAGAGGTGGATTAGCTACTTGAGGTGCAACATGAACACCTTGGTTTTGAATTCCTTGATTGATGATGGGAAGTTGTGGTGCATACATTGGCCTTGGCATTCCATATGGAGCTTAGCCTTGTTGTTCTGGTGGTTGGTGAATGTATGGCCTAGGCATGCCTAATGGTATTTGTATGTTCTCATTGTGCACATTAGGATGAAAAATACCTTGTTGATCATCATTATGGTCATCCATTGATAGATTGGTTCTTTTTGAACTTCCTCTTCCTTTAGGATTTCTAACGATGGATTCAAGATGCAAATCAAGAGGGACAAGAGTTGGTCTCAATGAACGACTTCCATGCATGCACAATGCAAAACATAACGAGCACAAAGAATGACAAACACTATGCTTTCACAACAATTTCAATGAAACTTCCTCCACAAACACTCAACCCATACTCCCATGCTTTAACAACAATGATGCAAAGAACAAATAAAAATAAGCCTCCACGCAGGCCGACGATTTAACTAAGGGATTGAGTAAAGAAAGTCTCACAAAGGTCCTTTAGCACTTCAACTCCAAATTTAAAGCTTAGCTTAGCAAATTTTTTTAAATTTTTTAGCTTTTTACTTTCTTTGCTTTGCTTGAATGCTCCTTTGCTTGCTTCCTCTCCAACAATGCACCTAGTTAAGTAAAAACAATACAATAAGTAACCAAAAAGAAAAATAAAAATAAAGTAAAGACACGATCAAAAGAGTACTAATCTTAATTGATTCTACAATTCCGACGTTGCCAAATCAAATCAATCCCCGACAACGGCGCCAAAAACTGATGGACGGAGGCCGCACTACCACCAAGTTTGAGAGTGTGAGGGCCAAGAGTTTTACATTTATAGAAGTCACTACTACCTTTCACTATAAATATAACTAGGACGAGTAGGGATCGTCCCAAGGGATTGTAAGGGTCGGACAAGGTTGTGGAATCACTATTAGGGCTAATAGGTCGAGTGATCAAACAATTAGTTGGTTGGTTGATTAGAGAGCAACTAAATTGAATTAAGTAATAACAAAAAAATGCAACTAACAGTAAGTAAGAGAGAGAAGAGTCTTGGGGTTTAGAGATCACCACTAAGCAATGCATTTCTATACCATTGACAAGTGATTAATGAGGGCAAATGGTGTGTTGCAATATTAGTGTGTGTGTGTGTGGTTGATTCAACAAGCAAGGATGACTAGTTTAGAATGTATTGTCTAAACATCATGTGAAAGGCACAATATATCTAAGTAATGAAGCATATATTGCCTAAACAACATGTGAAAGGCACAATAGATCAAAACAAGTCATTAATCATTTCATTAAGCTCACAATCCAAATACAACACAAAGTTAAAAAACATATGCTACTTGCATTCAAAAGCATGGATCATCAAACAACAAGCATAGATTGTCCTCCCATTTAACACTACACTACCACTACACTACATCTACACTACTAGCATGAAAATAAACTAGGGGAGAGGCACAATCCATCAAGGAATAGGTATGAACCATCAAGAAAATCACAAGAACATTCCATTAAGCACTATGTTTTGACAATCTTTAAATCTATAGCATCAATACACATAGACATGCATCAATAACATAAAATCTAGAGACAAGAACATGAACATCTATTCTAACATACATAGACATATGGATACAATGAAATGATCAATTGAAAGCATTTAACCACATAAATCATTGAACAATCAAGATCTATATATATATCGAAGTGTCAAAACATTAATTACAATACTAATCCCTCAATAATACACAAGATTAAGATATAGAAAGCATGCTTGGGGCTACCTCTAGTCCCAAGAGGATGTCTAGCCACTCATGGTGATGCTCCTCCAACCCTCAAGGGCTAACTCCATGGTTGAAATCTGCTCCTTGTTGATGAAGAACTCTAATGGTGTCTCTAGCCTCCTCCTCTTTTCTTCTACACTAAGAATAGCCTCCAAAATTGTATCTACCAAATGCTAAAAATCTCTTTTTTCAAAATGTGCATCATATTCCTTTTATAGGTAGGTCAAGTGACACACCAAATGAGCTAGGGTCATGCAAAGAATATTCTCTAATGATTGGATAGAGGACGGATTGAATAAGCTGTCTTTTTAACTTTTTCGCACTGGAGGAAGTTCGATCGATCGAACCTTGGACTTGGATCGATCAAACTTGCTGAGATCCATCGAACTGAGGCTGGATCAATCCAACTGGTTGAGCTTTTTGGGAAAAGACAAATCCGAGATATTTTGAGAGGTATTTTTGGGAAAAGGACAAAAGTGGTTAGTGGGTGGTACAGTTGTGGATAAGATTAATCATTTGAATTAGGACAAAAGTGTTCGATCGATCGAAGGGTGGTGTTGGATTGATCGAACTTTGGACTTTTGCTTTGAGTCAAGGTTTGGATCTATCTTGAAGTACTGAGATCGATCATTGTTCGAACGATCGAACCTTGAAGTTGGATCGATCGAACTTTGCTGCTTCCCATCTTTGGCTTCATTTACTTCTTTCTTTCTCCACTTTGCTCCTTTCTTTGTTTAATCCCAAAATTGCTTCAATTAAGCTCTTATTTGGCTGAGTTAGCTTATTTTCGGGATAAGTGCCTGAAAATGAAAATAATACGAAATCAATCTAAAATGGTAAAGTAAGATAGATAAAGGTACTAGAATGCTTAAGCTTAAGGGGTTTAAATATGCACTTTTCAATACTCATCAAAACCCTAGTCATCACATAAATTATGTCCTCACAAGCTTTCCAAAATTAATAAGTTCAAAACTTATACAAAATCAAATGCAAGTTACCACATTCCATGCACAAGTAAGGTTGAATCCACAAAAACCATACACATTACAAGAAATTCGGGTTTTATGGACAGTCGAAACTGTCCCTAAAAGCCCGGAATCCATCCCTAAATGTTAAATTGGTCCGTGACAAAAAGTAGCGTGCCAAAAGAGCTTTAAGGACGGTCAAAGTTAGCTGTGACAAATACTTTTGACCTTTAGGGACGGTCAAACTGTCCCAAATAACACCATCCCTAAAACTTTTTAGGGACGGTATAGACTGTCCCCAATACCTATAGTATTGGGGACAGTTTCGGGGACTGTCCCCAATACCTGTAGTATTAGGGACGGATAGACCATCCCTAATACATTATTGACTGTCCCTAATAAATTTATTATTATTATTATTATTATTATTATTATTATTGTATTAGGGGCAGATAGACATGATTTTTTTAATTATAATTATTGTATTAAGGACGGGTAGACTGTCCCTATTACATTAATATATATATATATATATATATATATATATATATATATATTTGTATGCTTAATTTGTGGGTTTAACCATTCCGGATACATGAAAAACATAAACAAAATAGTACCACAATAACATTCAAAAAGATATTACTAGTCATAAAACAAACAAAAAAAAAAAAAAAAAAACCCACAATATATATATTCAAGATCCATAAAATCTCCAATTTTCTAAACAAAAACTAAAATCATGTCTGAATCCACAGCAATATCCCTTCCTTATGCCTAGTTGGTTTTGCACTATCTCAACATCATTTATGGTTGGACTCGTACCATCAGAATTTTGAGAATTTTGTGCAGCCTTTTCTTTTATTGCATCCTGCAAAATATTTACGTTCGCTATCAAATTGAAAGAATATGGCATAGGAATAAATCATGTGCAAACTAGAATATTAATCTCAATAGAGAGAAAAAAAAAAAAAAATGCTTATTGAAATGCTTATTTTCAAAATGGAAGGATGAGTTTGGGCACACTGCAATGACAAATGACAACTGATATTAATTGTAAACACTTGTTAACTGAAAGCAATCTATTTAAGGAAACATTTTGAATACTTTACACATATTCAAGATCTGATATTAGAAATTAGAAACAAAAATGTCCTATTCTCAACATTTCATCATTGTCCCCTCTCAAAGAAATTCATAATACAAACCAGACCTTTAAATTTATAAAATATCTCACTTGCACAACAAAAAGGGCAACACAGCTTCTTCTACAAACAGGTGGGTTTGCAAACTCACTCTCTCTGCATTATAAATCTTAAATGATGTAAATATACAACAAATCCTCATATATAGTAATAACATGAACCAAACAAATGAACATATAATAGAGCTATTAAATGCCAATAAACGATATCAACAGGTATTATTTAAAGAAACTTCCACAACCAATTTAGGTTTCGTAGAAAAAACAAAGTTATTATTTTGCATATTCAAAGGTAGGAATTCTAATTCATGGGGCTGTAACAGAATGATATTAGATGAGTATTTCATAATTTTGAGATATTGAAATATTCTGAAATTTAGTGAAGCACAAAAAAGCAGATTATCCCCCTTATAACACTAATAATTACTAGTAAATGTGAAATTTAATGAAACACATACCCAGAGATACTCCAATAGATCTGAAATTTAGTGAACAAAGTCTGTTCCCCGCAAACCTAATTTATAGTGACTTAAAGCAAATGGGTATTAAAAGTTAATATATATACATATATATATATATATATACATATATATATATATGATCTTTTGTATTGTGAATGAGCTGAAAGGATGGAAAGAGTAAATAGGGATGAAGAAGCATATAAAATGTTGAGCACACTTAGGTCAAGGCCACCAAACTGTGAGCATAAATGTGTAAATTGTGTACCTTTTTGTTAGTTATTGAATTTTGAAATAATTTGGTACTACCTAACTAGGATCAATACATTGAATGAATTTGACTGCCAAGTGATTGTTTAGGTATCAATCATGTTAACTAGGATGCACTTTGACAGTTTGTAATCACGAAACCATGTCTGACCTATGCATCATTTCATCCTGCAATTGACATATAAGTCTTATAATTGAGAATTGAGATACAAATTAAAGAGAAAAAGACTTGTACCAGAAAATAGTAAAGGCTAAACTGATCACATTAAGAAAAAGATATTTTAATGAGTTTGAGGGGAAGTATCTTAATAAAACAATGCTCAAACTTAGTTTTTTTAATGAATTTTTATCGCGAGTTTACAAATTCTCTCCATATCTCTTTCTCCCTCTTTGTTTTTGTTATTCTCAATCTCTCAGTCTCTCAAGCCTATCTCTTTCAATCTAACTTTTCACTCCTATCATATGTCATCTGACCTTCTAGCCTGACCTCATCTTCTCATTCTCATCCCCTTCTTTCATTCTAGTTCTATATCAGTTTGGTATGACAACACTTTTTGTCCTACATCACAAACCCATTAGCATTTGTTTACCGCAATTTTTATTTCAAACAGTATATATGTTATTCCTATCACTATTTATTCTTTCAATTAATTTAAATCTTTTTTCCTGTTTAGAACTAGTTTTATGATAAAATTACAAGTTACTACAAGAGACTTATTTGAGATAAGTTAATCCTAGATGTGATGTAACTGCGTACAATTCAAAAACAACATAATAAATAAAGGCCCACTAGAATAACAAGGCTATGAATATAGGTATCAAATTATACCATCTCTTGGAATAATTTTTTTGAAAATAAAAGCCAACTAAAATTAGGAAAAACTTCTTCAATTGAACCTGGTCCTGCTACATTTTGGTTTGGGAAAGTATCCATTAAATACATTTTTTATTTTCTATCCAGCTTTTCTTCCTCAGATAGGGGGGAGAAAGAGGAAGAAACTCAAGAATATAAAGGAAGAATTATCAATTATCTGATCTTGATGTTCAGGGGTTGTCTATGCTTCTAGATTACGGGTATAACTGAAAGTTAAATTGAGATTCTCATTGAGAAGTCCACACCTCCATTGATTATGTGAAGTAATGGATATTATGGATAAACATCAAACATGAAACTTGCACTATGTTGGCTTGCCTTCTTAATAAAATGAATTTGAAGGAATTATATATAGAAAAATGTTGTTCTCAAGAGTTTTTCTAATCCATATCCATATTCCTCCCACCACTTGTATAACAGTGAATGAACATAAATACAACATTTTAAACTGTGGAAATAATGCCTATTTTGTGTACATTATCCAATTATTAGTCATTTCTCGGATTTTCCCTTTTTATTTATTATTTCTGGTTGATTGAAGATTTGGTAACCAATTATCTCTATAGTTAATACAATGTGCAAATATCTAAAAGGAAATAGTAGGGTTAAAGAATTCAATAATTACTGGTTTTCAAATAAAAAATCTCTCTAGTATTACAAAGAATTAGCTCAACCATTACACTAGTTATTATTACTGCTGCTAGTGTACGAATATTATGTACATTACACTAATTAATGCTCATTTCAGGGTATCAGTCATATATCACCTGACAATGAACTCCAAAATTTTTGCCTCACAAAAGGGTGAAAAAAAAAAAAAAAAAAAAAAAATTGAAAGTAAAAAATTGAAACATTATTCGTAAATGGTCCATTGATGCAGGTTTTGTCTAAAAGGGTAAAGCAAATCAATACTTTTAAAATAAAAAACATAAAAAAAATAGCTCATATAGCACAACATTAAAAAAATATATAACAGCTTGGAGCAAAAAAAAAAAAAACCAGCACCACCCTACATCTGGAAGATAAATAGTAGAAGATAGGGTGGATCAAAGAACCATGGCACATACCAAGAACAGATGCCGGCAGAAGCAGAACAACAGAACTAATCTGATACGAAGACACCTATTCCACATGAACAACAAACCAACCCACAACAGTTGAAAACTGATTTTGAAGTCTGGGATGCTATTCAGATTTCATATGTTAATCTAATATATATATATATATAAATAAATAATAAACATACGTAAAACAAAAAATAAATGTTTAGAATTATTCTACAAAATATCCTCAGCATTATCCTACAAAATATCGCATTTACACATATCTCAAATTTCTCAGCTTCATATTCTATTGCTATCTTTCCAATCTATTACTGGTTCTTTCAATATTTATTATTGAAGTTACTCTTCGATCCTAAAGCTAAGAAACAAAGCAAAGTACTAGTAAAATGAAAAACAAGAACACTATATAAATATCTAGCACACAAATCCATTTCGATCACTTTACATTCCATGGTGTTAATAGGAGGAGGTAGATAGCGTGAAAGATTAATGCAATCCCATTGTATTTGAGGAATCAATTTTACATGTGTACACCAACTAATTAATTCATCAATGTCAAAAGAAGAACAAACATATTTATAAATACATAACTCTTAATTTGATCTATAAGATTACAAATTTAACTGAATTAGTGCATTTCATGTCTCAAAAAGCTTACTTATTACATACACTAAACAATGAACATTGGGCTTCGCTATCCAGAAGACATACAAACTCTTATCAACTAGTTTAATTTGATTGCATTGCTCTTTAAGCAACAAAATATTTAGTCGTTGCTAAAATCAAAAGAGATTGTTGTGTTTCTTAAATTCCAATCAGATGGAAATAGTGATTTTTATCATCATTTGTAACTTGATTTACCATGGAAAAGAATTTAATATTTATGCTTTTAGTTGGTATGCTATATTAAAATTATATTTACATTTGAAAATCAGGAGATAGAGCTTCTATATCCATATGATCAATGAAAGACCTCTATACATAGTATTTAAGCCCGAGTCTTAGAAAATGGCTTAGGAAGAAACGCAGGCTGCCATGGCTTTCAATTCATCACCTCCTTCAAAAACTTTCCCAGAACATTCCCAAGCCCCATGTTGTACATCTACCACATCTAATCTCATTTTTAAAATTTTCACCCCCTTACAAACCTAGGGAACACCAAGGAATGACCCATAAAATTATGTCAGGGTGTAACTATTTACCATGAATTTAAACCAGAATTTATTTTACTACCCCGAACAATCCAAGCTAGAAAACCAATCAAGCAAACAAACAAGCATATACCAAATTATACAAGAAAGTTAATAACCCAGTAAGGCCAACGCATCCTCCAGCTAAAGAAGAAGAAAATTAAACAAATAAAATGCTTTAAGAAAACATTGCACATGGAGCTTTATACATCCACTGAAAATTTTCAGAAACAATCATAACTTCCGACCAAGTATAGAAAGATTCATATTAGAAAGAAAAAAAATGTTAAAATGTCATGTTTGCAAACTTGAATTCGTACATTTACTACCATTAGCCATAAGCAACAAAGAATCGCTTCTATAAATGTGACTTTTTTCCTAAATTGAACACAATACAACAAACAAAATAGAAATAGAACCCAGAATTCAAATTTTGTCAAAGTGATTTCACAGTGTAACAAGCACATAACGAGTTTTTTAACAAGCACATAACAAGTCACACTCGTTATATCTCAAACTTGTATTTCCTATAGCGATTCAGACTCAGACCACAAGCCGACTCCAGATTTGTAATTTACCCCTTCGATAGTTAGGCCTTTTGCAATTTCAAAACCCTACAACATGTATTTGCATAAAAATAAAAAAAAATAAAAAATAAAAACACTATGGTGAGGATCATTAAACCGAAGTGAGTTATATGAATGTGAAATTGAAGATTAAGGTTCTCTGAAAATCGAAGAAAGAGGCATAATCCCTAACATTGTAAAAAAATAAAAATGTCGTACCTTATGATTAAGAGTGGCTGTTGGAACTATTAGGTCATTCGGCCTTTGCTGTTGGAAGAAGGTGAAAGAGTCTTTGTCTTCTACGACGGTGGAAAAGGGTGGAAGAGCTAGCCTCTGTCTTCTACGAGGGTGGAAGGGGCGTGAAGGCTTGAAGCGGGTTGAGAACTGAAGTGGTCTGGAGATCGACTGTAGGTATGATATTATAATTTTGGAAGTAATGATATATTAAACGACATAGTTTGATGTATTTTGTAAAATATAATAATTAAATATATTATAATTTTGATCGCGCCAAACAAGGAATGAAGCGCCAAGTTTTGCCGAACAATTTTTTTATGAAATTGGTGTAAAGACCGTGCCAAAAAAGAAGGCTTTAGGGACAGTCAAGAAGGCTTTAGGGACAGTTTTATAGATTGTGCCAAAAAATAAAGTTTTAGGGACAGTTTTTGTAAACTGTGCCTAAAAAAGAAGGTTTTACGGACAATTTTTAAGATTGTCCCTAAAGGACTGTCACTAAAACTCAAATTTCTTGTAGTGGCCATGTCCGAAAATTTAAGTCTAAATAGCATATGACATGTCATGTCTTCAACATGCAATTTTTACATAACACAAGAATATCTTTCAACAACTAAGTCAAGTTACCCAATATAAGCCAAAAGCACTAAATATACCATACTTTAGTAGCTAGCTCCCATGGTAAACATTAGTGATATTCTAAATAAGCTATATACCTACACAAGATATACTTAAACAAGCTTTTCAAGACAATGATATCACATATCATGCTAAGTCAAATTACCATCTTTAGATACCACAAGTACTAATTCTACAACAAGTTAGTATCATGTTCACAAGGTAATTAAACATACTACATTTCAAAAGATTATCAACCGAACATGAAAAATCTCTAAATTTCAAATCAATTCCAAATAAACTCAAATTAATATATGTTAAATTACATGCACGGTTTTCCCATATACTACATCAAAAATCAATTTAAGTGATTAAAACACTTAAAATAAAATTAATTAAGTTAATTAATTAATTTTCTCTAGATTTTCAAATAACTCCAAATGTTCTCAAATTAACATAAGTTAAGGAACATACCAAGGCTTATTTTAATATCACATTACAAATTGATTTTATACTATTTACAACCATGTGAATTAAACTTTCATACAAGTAAAAGATTAAATAAAAGTTTCAACACTTATTCAAATACTTCGAATTTAATATATGTTAATAAATATATCAAGGCGTAATTTAATAGCATGCCACAATTTGATTCTAAGCAAGATACATCCATGTGAATTAAATCTTATACAAAGAAATAATTAAATTAAATTTCTAAAACTTGAACAAAAACATGCATACAAGTTGTATATATTTAGAAAATAATCAATACAACAAAATATAATCCTAATACATCCCCTATCTCAATTTGAGATGAAATCTCAAATCCCCACCGAAATGAAACCGCTCCGAATTCTACGAAACTTTGGCGTTTTATCGGGGACAACAAGGTAATCATTCAACCCCAACGAGGTCACACCAAAATCCTAACTTGGCTTCAAATCCGAACTCAAAAAATGGTTAAAATGGGATTCCAATCGGTTGGAATCGAAGGCCTCGCCAAGGCGAATAATAAACACTAAAGTATAACCACTTTTTACTAAAGGGAGGAGGTTCAAAAGAGGAAAGAGAAAGTGGCAGCCCTTTGGGCTTCCATGACTATCGGCCAAGAGAGGGAGAAGATGAAGAAAATATCTCACTTACCTCCTATTTATAAAAAAACCCTAAAAGTGTCTCGAACGAGTCCCGCCGGGTCTGGAAAAGTGGAATTTGAGCAAACGCGCTCAAACGACAAAACTCCGTGAATAAAAAATAACTGAAATGAAAAAAAATGAATAACGGAAAAAACGACAGAGAGATATGCCTCAAACAAGTTCGGCGTTAACCACCCGAAAACTACAGGGATTGACCGGAAGACAATTCTAAGAGTACACGACTCGACGAAATGTGAAAATGAATCCCACACGAGGATTCAGGCCCCAAGGAGATACTTAGCAAATAACTTTCATTAATTACACAAAGGCCCCTACACAAAAGGATAACTGCGCAAGTGACCCCAAATGAAAATATTTTTCAAAAGATATTTTCTTAGAAACCCTTAAATCAAAATATCTTCAAAAGATATTTATGAAAATTACCCTAAGAAACAAAAATATTTCTGAAGAATCTCTTCACCCACGCCCATGCGGGAAAAAGAAACAATCGGCGAGTTTTTCTCCAAAGGTAAAGTTACGCCATTCAAGGAAACCAACAAGAATGGAAGTACGTGAAGTCACAAACCAACTTCGAGCATGAAGAGTGAGGTTGCGAAAGGGAATTTCAACGAAAAAAATTAATCCATAAAAATCTGAGAAAAAAGGAAAGGAAGGAAATGGCCGGGTCATTACACACTTTTTATTTTTATTTTTTTTAAATATTGTGGATTAGGGCATGGAATTTTTTGGGAAGGAAAATGGGTTGCTTTTTAAGAAGTGAATAAAAAATGTTTTTCTTTTCCTTTTTATAGTATAGATTTTTCTGAATATTCATTCCGGTATGTATGTATTTAGTTATAAAAAGTACTTTTATTAACTCTTTATTTTAACCATTAAATAAATACTCTAATTCAAAATTGTTAAAAATGTATAGAAATAATAAAAATATATATACACTTATTAATCATATGTGACTATTAGAATTCAGAGATGACTCATATAATCATACGGGGCTATTGAAATTCTAAATAGTATATAAGTATAGGTACTGTCAAAAGAAATAATTTATTTGATAAAAATAACCTCTCTTTTTTTCAATAAATATATTTTTTGGGGGGTTTTTTTTTTTCTTAGTGACAAAAGATATTTTTAAGTGGTTACTTTCATTTTTTTTTATCCGGCCAAAAGAGGCAATTTATTCAACATAACAAAATTTTATTTTTTCTGTTCTCTTAAAAAAAAATTATTCAAAAATTATTTTATTTTATTTGTGTTGTCAAAAGATACTTAAAATATTAAAGATTTGAGATAATAAGAGAAAATATGAAAGGTAAGTTGTATCATTTAAAAAATTATTATTATTTATATAAAGATAATAATAGAATTATCATTTCATTTAAAATTATAGTGTAAATGTTGAAAAGTGGAGTGTCAATATTGCCTCCCTTTCATTTTTTTTTTTTTTTTCTAAATCCATCTATAATAATAAGTAGTCACAGCAATTAATTCTTCGTCAAACAAAGTTAGCCACGTTTTTATTTATTTTTTTATTTTTCAAAAGAAGAAGAGATTACTTTAAAAAATTATTCATCCTCAGTGCACATGTTCTTCAATTTTTTAATTTTTTAGCACGACTAAAAGCGATTCAGCCACGTGCCACCAAAGATTCTGAAGTGGGCCTAATATCTTAATCAAGATTTGCATATCTGTCTCTACACAGTACACACCTTGTGAGCAGTGTTAAGAAATTTAATTTTAAATTTGTTTGCTTCTCTATCTTTGCTGTGTTATATACGCGCATATATATACATTTATCTATTTATATTAATTATATTTATACTATTATAAAAGTGTAACTAATTTTTTAACATTTTTAAATTTTTAAAAAATATAAAATTATTTCATTAAATACTAAACATTAAATCACCTTATGATTCATACAATTTTAATTTTTCTTTATAAAAATTTCAATGACTTGTCATTATATCACCTTATTTAACTCTCACAACTAAAAAAAAAAATGTAAAAGGAAAATAAAACATACCTTTTTTGTTTCTAAAATACACATCCACTCCACTTCAAACATTTTTGCTAAAAAAAAGAAAAATAAAATGTAAAAGAAAAATAAAACACACATTTTTTTGTTCTTAAAATACACACCCACTCCACTTCAACCATTTTTGCTTATTTTAAATTTAGAAATATTCTAAAAGTGTTGCTAATTCCTTTTTAAAAAATATAAAATTATTTCATTAAAAACTAAACATTAAATCACATTCATACAATTTCCAATTTTTCTTTATAAAAATTCCAATGAAGTGTCATTAAATCACCTTAATCAAGATTTGCATCTCTCTCTACACAGTACACACCTTGTGAGTTGTGTTAAGAAATTTAATTTTAAATTTGTTTGCTTCTCTATCTTCGCTGTGTTATATACATGCAAATATATATATCTATCTATATCTATACTATTCTAAAATCTATCTATACTATTCTAAAAGTGTAACTAATTTCTTAATATTTTTAGATTTTAAAAAATACAAAATTATTTCATTAAACACTAAACATTAAATCACCTTATGATTCAAACAATTTTCAATTTTTCTTTATAAAAATTCCAATGACGTGTTATTAAATCACCTTATTTAACTCTCACAATTAAAAGAAAAAAAGCAACAAAAAAAAAATGTACCCTATTTGTTTAAAAACAAAAATAAATAAATACACGTAACAAAAAGAAAAATGAAAAAAAAAGTACCAAAGAAAAAAAAAAAAAAAGAAAAAGAAAAAGACATACATTTTTTTAAAAAAATTCTAAAGCCAAATTCACACTATTCCAAACAAAACAAAATATTGTAGAAGAAAAAAAGAATGTACCCTATTTGTTTAAAAACAAAAATAAAAAAAATATTAACGCAACAAAATGAAAAAAAAAAAAAACACATACATTTTTATTGTTAAAACGCATTCCCACCCCACTTCAAACATTTTTGCATAATTTAAATTTAAAAAAAAAAATTATTAACATATATATTAACTACATGTTGATTCATAATGTCTCTATAAAAGTTGCAACCCTTTAATTTCTTGCTATTAAGTGTAATGATTTATTTCTCTTTAAATGTTATGATATAAAGGTTACAACCCTTTCGTTTTCTGCAATTTCATCTGATTTGGAGTCTCTCCAAATGCACCAAAATTATCTTTCAATTTATTTTCAAATCATTTACAACCCGTATGATTCATATAATTTCCAATTTTTCTTTATAAAAATTTTCAATGATGTGTCATTAAATCACCTTATTTAACTTTCACAGATTAAAAATAAGAAAAAAAAAATATAAAAGGAAAAAAAAAACTATAATATTCCCATTATTTAAAAAGGAACCCGTTCCTTTCAAAAAATTCTAAAGCTTAATTCA